AAGGCTCTGGCTGTTGTGGATTAATTGGCTAGAGCCTTGTCCCATACACCATAGGACACGAACCCAGGTTGTGGAGTCCATCCCCGGAGCCTATCAGTGTTTGTGTGTGTGTCTCTCTCTCCCTCTCTCTCTCTCTCTCTCCCTCTCTCTCTCTCTCTCTCTCTCCCATTCCTCCCCTCTTCCTCTCTCTAAAATCAGTAATACATTTAAAAAAAAAAAGTTAAAAACCTTTAAAAAAGAGAGAGAAAGAAAGTGAAAAGACAAGCTACAGACTGGGGGAAAATATTTGCAAATCATCTATCTGATCAAGTCCTAACCAGATACATACAAATTACTAAAACTCATTAATATCCTAAAACTCAATAATATGCAACATGATTTTTAAAATGGGCAACAGACATTTAACCAATATACACAAATGACCAATAAGCACATGAAAATATGTTTCACTATATCTGGGAAATTCAAATGAAAAATTTTGAGATCTTGCTTCGCCTTCATTCGAAGAGCTATAACCTGAAAGACAAAAATGTAAGTAGGAGACTTACGTTTCCTGATTTCAAAACTATATTGTAAAGCAAAAGTAACCAAGGATGTCCAGAAATGGGATTCTCCTACATCATTGATGGGAATATAAAATGATGAAACCACAGTTTGCATAGTCTTAGAAATTAAACATAAATGTACCATATGACCCAGCAGTTTGGCTCCTGGGAATCTATGGGAGAGAAAGGAACCCATGTCCACCCAAAGACTTGACAGTTGAAGCGTTCACAGCAGGCTTTTTTAAAGTAAAAGAGGCCAACAATCCAAATGCCCACTGAGTTTGTAAGCAGTAGTTGTCGCAGTCATACAATGGAGTACAGCTGCCCCATGGATAAACTTCACACACACTGTGCTGAGTGAAGACAGCCAGACCCCAACGGCCACACGTGATATGATTGTGTCGTTATTCCATTTACATGAAGTGTTCAGAAAAGGCAAATCTATGGAGACAGAAAGGAGAACGATGATTGACTGTGGTGAGAGTTTGAAACAGGATTGACTACCAGTGGACACAAGCCTACCTTTAGGGTGATGGAATATCCTAGAACTGCATCGTAGTGATAATTATGCAACTCTGCAATTTACTACACTTCATTCAAGGCGATGCTTAAAATGGGTGGATTTCATGGTATGCAAATTATAACCAAATAAGAGTCTTATTTTTATTTTAAATACTTTTTATGCATTTCAGAGAAGGAGAGAGAAAAAAACATGAATGATGAGAGAGAATCATTGATCAACTGTCCCCTGCATGCCCTCTACTGGGAATCAAGCCCACAACCTAGGCATGTGCCCTTACCAGGAACCAAATCATGATCTCCTGATTCATAGGTCGATGCTCAGTCACTGGGCCACAATGGCCTGGCACAGAGTTATCTTTAAAAAAACAAGCAAATAGAAAACAGCCACCTATTGGATTGACTGGCATGCATAGGACAGACACCAGCCTGTCAGTAAGGAGGTTCGCCATGTGACACAAAGGTGATGCGGGTCCCAGTGAGCAGAGTGGCTGCCCTGCTCATAGTGCCCAAGTCGTGATGGTTTTCAATTGTATGTCTTTTCAGGTTAATAATCTGAGATCATTTAGTTATAAATTTATATTAGTTACCAAAATGTCTTCTTTTCTCTCCTGGTCAGCCATGTTTTTATTTATATTTTCTTAAATACACTTTATTAGGTAGATTCACAGCAAAATTAAGTGTAAGGTACAGAGAGAGTCCCTCTATTCCCTAGCCCACATGTGCACAGCTTCCTTCATTATCAACATCTCCCACAAGGTGGTACATTTTTTGCAACCTAGGAACCTATGTTGACACATCATCACCACCCAGAGCCCAACATTTACCTTAGGGTTCACGCTTGGTGGTGTGGAGAACCAGAAATAGGCCCATATAAATATCATCAACCAATCTTGAACACAGGAACAAAGCAACACAGTGGAGCAAACAGTCTTTTCCCCAAATGGTGCAGGAACAACTGGACATCCACATGTAAAAACATGGACCTGGACACAGAACTCATGGCCTTCATAAAAATTAGCTCAAAGTGGGTCAGAGACCTAAATGTGAAAGATGAAATTATAAAACTCCTAGAGAAACCCTAGGTAATCTGAGGTTTGATGACGAATTTTTAGATATGATACCAACGATAAAATCATGAAAGAAAAAATCGATAGGCTGGGATTCATTAAAATTAATAGTATCTGTTCTGCAAAAACAAAACAATACAGGCGAATGAAAAGATGGGCCACAGACAGGGAGAAATAGCCCCAAACTGTCTTTTTAATCATTTTGTTCTTCTTGAAGTTAAGATCTAAACTAAAATAGTTCAGGTTCCAGAAATTCTCAGAAAATATTCATTATAAGCAATTTGCTGTTAAGTAGGTTTGTTTTTCCCCCACAGAGGTATTTATAGCCAGTGCCAAGAAATCAACATTGGTTAATAAATGAAACAATCAACATTTTTTGGACTGGGCAAGGAAAGGGCAAGTAGAATATTCATGAATCAAGTTTTCTGCTTGTCCTCTGTTTTCTTCTTAGTGTTAACTTCTGTCCTATTCATATACTTGACATTCTCTAGTCAAGCATAATACCACACACTAGACTGATCACCCTTTCATATGCTAATGCTTCTGATCAAGCCAATCATTTCTCCTGGTAGAAATTCTTGAGAAAGATAGTAGGTGATTTGTATTTAATTTTCTTCATTTGGATCTCCTTATGCCCTGGAATTTACAAAATAAGATGCTGGGGACAATATGGAAATGATAGATTGTTATAATAGGAATATCATCCTAAGAGTTTCCTTACATCTTACTTCCTTAAGACATGAGGCTCAAGTGCCACCAAACATGTTTGGTGCCAGCACTGAAGATGAAAAAGTGCTAGGTGTGAGGCAGCAGCAGCAATAAAATCACACAGGGTAATCTAAGGCGGTGGTGGGTTGAACAACATTTGGTGTTCACAAAAATTTACCACATCGTTTCTCAGAGAGGTAAGATGTGTGCTTCCTGGTGGATAATTATGATTCAGGAGATTCATAATGTGCGGGCTTGTTATATTCAGGCCTGCACATTAGAACTTACACTTTAGATCTTTGACCTGGTATATGATCCCACTTTGGGCCCTGAGAGTGTTCTTTTAATATCCATTCAGCAGAGGTAATTTTTCCATTATTTTTATTTCTTCCTGCTTCGTGCTTCCTTGAGGCTTCTAACTGGAGTTGACACAGCAGCTACTAAGAACAGCTCTAATTCAGCCACACCAGCTGTTAGGGTGCAGGCTGATTCTGCAACCCTGTGTGGCAGGTGACAGAGGAGGAGTGAATGACAGTGCCCACCCACAGGGGAAGAACAAAATAACAGCTTTCAACAGTCAGTCGTGGGAATTCCCTTCTGCTTATAGTCAGTGTTCTCAGAGGCGTCCCGCGTCTGGGAACAGGGTCTTAGTGGGAGAGAGGAGAGTGTTGCTGTGTCTCTTAACTCATACAGCCCCTTAGGAAAAAACTAAGTCTTCAGAGATAGAGACCTCTGTGAGTGGGGGAGGGGGAGCAACATCTGTTGCCCTTAGAGATAAGGAAATGTTTGTCTTCAGACTCAAATATAAAATTCTTGGAAGATTATTTTAAGAATAATACGGTATGCCCCAAAAGTAAGAAACAAGACTTGCTGGCTTATGTCAGAATTTTGTGATGTCGATGTATTTGTTGGAATGTTATTTGATCTCTTAAATACCCTTAAAATAAAGTGATCTTGAATGAACTAAATTAATTTCCTAAGGACAACTGTCAGATTATTAAATCCTTTGAAAAGATCACAGGCAAGGTCATTTGCTGTCTTTCCTTTTGACAAAAGTAAATGAAGCTTTGGAATAGAGGAACAAAGAAAGAAAAGAAACTTGCCCCCAACTGTCCTGAAGAATAGCTTTTCTTCTAAGGGCCCTGTTTAAAGTAGATTTTTAAGCCAACTTAATTTCCTTATTTTTAACTACTTTGATTCTGTTGTAAACAATTTTGAAATTTTTAATGTCAGATTGACTTCATTCAAGAAGAATTGGCTTTAGATCATGACATAGCAGTTGAGGCTTAATGTGCTCTTTTATCTATCAGAATTTTGTACCTACAAAATCCCTTTTACTTAAATCTTAGAAGATGATTTATCTACGACATATTATAGTACATGTCATCTATTCACGTTGATTTATAGTCATAAACCAAAAAAGTAAAACCATTAAAAATGTTGTTTTGGCAAATACCTCAGTATTTTAAAGCCACACTTGCCCCACCGATTAATGACAGATCAAAATATGTAATCTAGCATTTCCCTCATTTCTCTAAATATACTCTCTAATCTAAAGGTAAAATTCAAGAAGACATGTTTTTTCTTTGTTCTACTTGGTGATTTGTTTGGTTTATTCTGAAGCAAAATTTCAAACCTTAAAAATTGAGTGACAAACTTTGTCCATTGTGTTGACTTCCTTTCATTTACTCTGGATATCAGTTTCCTAATCCAGCCATAGGCGTGCTTTTTCTCAACGGCCCTTCAGTAAGTACCTGGGTCAGGTGGTACAATGCCGAGTCCCAGTACAACTTCACATACAAAAACGGGCAGCACTTGTGATTTGCTAACTCCTGTCCTAAATGTCCAGGCCTTTTACCAAAATCCAGTTCTGTGCTTCCTGCCATGAAAGAGACCCCCGCTTGTCTTTGTACTAGGTTTGAGAAACTTCTCAGCATCACGGCTTGTGTGTTTCCAATGCGTGCTCAACATGGCAGTAACTCCGGATCATAACTCTCAGGTTCTTCGTGCTTTTCACAGTGTTCATGGGCAGGCTTTCATTTTATGCTTAAAGGAGTGGCTGTGACTATCCCTCTCTGGCACGTGGACGAGGGCATTTCTCAGGCACAGGTTGGCCCCTCTTCTGCGTCCTCGCTGACTTCCCCATTTCTCTCTGCAGCGTGTACTCTGGGCACCAGTCCATCCTCATCCCGCCTTCAGAGCTGGAAACCAACCCCGCCTTGTGGCTTCTCGCTGTCAGTCAGTACAAAGTCCGAGATACGTTTTGCTCCTATTCAGTGATGGAACTCTGTACCAAGGGACTGGGCTCACAGACAGAATCCCTCAAGGTAAGCAGCCCTCACCGACCTTTCGGGGCCTGGAGAGCATGTCCCGTGTCCTAGGAAATCGGTGTCCAAGGGCGTGGAAGGGCGTTAGAGAAGTTAACCCTTCACAGAAGTCAAGGCTCACAAATTTGTTTTCACATACAAACCTTGTTTTATAACATGACTATTTTGGAACTGCCACAAAGAGTGCAAGTTTGTCTTACTGACATCATTAATTTCATTAGGTCTTCTTGAAGGTCCTGAATTGCTTTCTTTCTTCTTTGTTGGTGAATTCAGTTCTTGAGTTCAGGTCATTTTATTCTGACCCTGGTATTCAAGTCATAGATTTGAATTGTGCCACTAGTTTTATTCCCTTGAAGACCCGGATTTATAGATCTCAATTAATCCTAACCAAAATCTATTTTCACAATTAAGTGAACAGTGGTGTTTTTTGTTTTGCTTTTTTTTTTTTTTTTTTTTTTTTTTTTTTTTGTGTGTGTGTGTGTGTGTGTGTGTGAGAGAGAGAGAGAGAGGGGGGGGGGGGGGATTAATAGTATTTCCCTCTATTTAAACCAAGGACATTTCAAGAAACATATTTCATAGTAAATTAAGTAGCCTTTATCCAAGTAACTAGTTTTAACTTATATTCCTTCCAACTACTATTTACTGCTGATATGCCCAGGTGTGTGGGTTGCTATGTATAAATCCAGATTATCCTTTGTGCGTGTGTGTGTGTGTGTGTGTGTGTGTGCAATACAAATAGTAAAGCAATACAATTGTTTTTCCTGAATTTTGTTTTCTTTTTTAGATTTAATGTGTTAGAATTGAATAGGAAAATAAAATGCAAGATAATTTTGATATTAAGTTACATAAATAAATGTATAATTACTTGAAGTTGTATGTTTATGCAGGAAAATAAATTTATAAAACATAATTATTACTCATGTCCACCTGTATTACATTATGAAATGAATGAGTGCACTTCATCAAATTTCTCTGTAGGTGCATAAATAACCAAAGTGAAATAATATCATAATTGAATGATTTCTAAGTACATATTGATTCATTTAACCTTTACAATAGCTCTCTGAAATAAAACCCATTCTTGACTTCATTTTTAAAATGAAGAAACTTAAGTGACAGATAAATTAAGCACCCTTTCCAATTTCTTGCATTTAATAAAATTTGGAGCTAAATGTTGAATCTGTGACTCTAAGTCCACCATTTCAAACCCCTGGCTGCATTGTCTCCCAATCCATACACAAGTAAATCACTTGTATTGCTGAGATTTTAATGTTTCCTGTGTGACTGTATATGTATAAAACCATGTCTGTATACTAAATGTCAGTGTCAGCGCTATCTTGTTTGTTTCCCTCTTCGGAGCCATGTCAGCATGCGCTCTTGCTCACTCGCTCGCTCTCTCCCTCTCTCACTCTCACTTTTCCTGTAATTACATCCTTGCAGATGCTTGAAGGGACGATGGGTCTGCTTATGGCGATTGTTCTTCAGACACACCACTCACTTCATGGCAAGCACAGCCCCTGACTCTCACGAGGCCCCAGTGTGTGCTGACTCACTAGATTCCTCCTCCTTTGAGCATTGCTGTTTTGCTCAGCTGGCTGAATTTGGTACAGAATGGAGGTGTACGGACCTTAGAACAGAGATGCCCTTGATGTGAGAATTTATTTGTAACTTTTGAAGTCTCATGGGACACAAAATGTCTTTTGCCCAAACATTTTAGCTTTTCACTCCTGTATTAAAATAGGTCTTCTCACGCTGGCCAGTGTGGCTCAGTTGGTTGGAGCATCACTCTGTGCATCTAAGGGTCAAGGGTTCAGTTCTCTATCAGGGCACATACCCAGGTTTTGGGTTTGATCCCCAATCAGGGAGCAAACAGGAGGCAGCCAATTGATGTTTCTCTCTCTCTCATCCATGTTTCTCTCTCTCCCTCCCTCCCTCCCTACTTCCCCTTCCTCTCTATCTAAAGCCAATTTTTAGAAAAAGTTTACTCATTTCTCTCCAGTTCCTGTGCATCCATGTCTATAGAAACTTTACAAATGCTTCCTTTATTCCCCAAACCCTGCCCTTTATTTTGTTCAGGACTTTGCTTCTCCTCAGCCTTTCTCCTCCCATTCTTGCTGTTGCTTCTTGCTGTTATTCACAGTATCTTTGTAACTATATCCTTGATAATCTGTTACCTGTTATCTGTGTGATTTATTTTTCTTATACATCCTAGACTGTTTCAGTTAATAGCGTGGAACCTTTCGACCCTGGAAATGGGTATCTCCTGTGTGGATGGGCCTGGTTCCGGAGGTCAGGCACCTAAGTACTTGGAAGCTGACCTCTTACTGCTGCTGCTGTTTCTAGGCACGAGGACTGGACCTATCCCGCGTGCGGACGTGTGTGGTGGTGGCAGAAGAACGACCTCGAATAGCACTGACCCAGTCCTTCTCAAAACTGTTCAAGGACCTGGGCCTCCATCCGCGGGCGGTGAGCACCTCGTTTGGCTGTAGAGTGAACCTGGCCATTTGCTTGCAGGTGAGTTTTGTTGATACCAACAGTGCTGGGTGACAGTGTCACTATTGATGACAGGGGTGCAGCTCACCCTGCTTTCCTTGGCCGACGCTTAGCTATGTTTAGAAGATATGATTGGTGCACAGTGTTTCTTCCTTCTTATTTTTTTTTTTATTCTGTATTTGTCACTAACCATAGTTCATAATTAGCATCCCTGGGACATTTTAACTTTTGTAACAGACTCACTGTTTGTCTGCGGTTTGGCTTTCTAAGGTTAGGCACTAAACAAATGTTTCATTGTGGCGAGAATCCTTGTCTTCTGAAGTACTTAGTCTTGTGTATGTAGACAGTGATTCTGCAGGAATAATTCCAAACATGAAGCAGGTTTGCCAGTTTGCTGCTGTGGTGGCAGTTTAGAACTAACAATTACAGCAGCATTTCTGTGGTATAGTGTGAGGCCGCCCTCCTAAGATAGCCTTGCATTAACCACTGCTGAAAAAATAGGTACTTATTTTCTTTCTGTTTTAGTCTGCTGCCGAGTATTTTCACTCCTCCTTTCTCTCTCTGGACTAACATGAGGTCCAGTCTGTGGCGTGACTGTGCCGGGTCGGGTGGCCTGAAAGAAAGAAAGGGAAAGGAGTGTAGGCATGTTCTCCCCTGGGCCCTTCCCACAACTTCACCCAGGACAAGCTCAGTTGCAGAGTTTGTTCGTCAAACATAGTAAAACAATAAAAGCTTGACTCACAGCAGGTACTGGAATGGAAGACCAGTTGACACAAGTCACCCTGGTCTCTACGCCCCGCCCGCCCACTCTCTCTAAATCCCCAGTCCTCACAACTACGTTGTTGTCCTCATTGAACATTTCCCTGTAATCAGTGAGAAGGGCAGTAAAAACACAGATAATTTTTTTGAGTAAGTAAAGAAAATATCTGTAGTCAAAATAAACAGAGTGAGAAGGTGAAGAATGATTGGGACACACAGGAGGCAGTTTTAGGAAGGGCGGCCACGGAGGCTTCTCTAGGAGGTGACGTGGCAGCCGAGTGCCCTGTGACTGCACCAAGTCCAGAATTCAGGCACAGGTGGCAGCGCATGCAAAGCCATGAGGCTGGTCAGTGAAACGTCCACTTTCTATTCCGATCTTTCAGAAGGTAGAAATGTGTGATTATGGCACCACACACACACAGCCAGCGTTATTTTGATTTTCCCCTATGGGTGACACCCTACTCTGTCACCTGCCACACAGGGTTGCAGAATCAGCCTGCACCTTACAACTGGTGAGACTGAATTAGAGCCGTTCTCAGTGGCTACTGGGTCAACTCCAGTAGAAGCCTCACGGAAGCATGAAGCAGGAAGAAATAAAAAATAAAAATTAAAAAAAAAAAACAGAAAAATTACCTCTGCTGAATGGATATTAAGAGAACACTCTCAAGCATAGCCCAGGTCGGAGGGCAGAAATCCCATGCTCCTGCTCACTCTGTACTTCTATGGGGTCTGGTGCATAATAAATGTTTTAGAAAGCAATGCCAAAAATACAGGTTAGCCAATCAACAAATAATGCCCATAATTTCATCTACCCAGAGATCAGTATTAATCCCTTCATGTAAAATAATAATAATATTAAAAGGCTAAAATATTCTAAATCTATACCTAAATATTTAAAGCCATTGAAAAATTGTCCCGTTGTAGCACCAGCTACTAATCCTAGGTGTACCAGTTAATAATGGCAGATTTTGTAATCAAAGAAAACACAATAATTTCAAGAGAAATATCAGAAGAGCTTTGTCCATAGCTAGCTACACATTCCCCCATCTGTCAGGTAATTTGTGGATACCGTCCCAATAGAACTTTTCTTGTTTTGAGGCAAACCATTCAGAGAACCAATTTTCCACTTCTTCATATGTTTTGAAGTGCTACTCAGATAGTGTGTGTGCCATCGATCGGAATAGTGATAATCTGAAGGAGCAAGGTCTGGTGAATATGGTGAATAGGTTAATACTTCCCAGGCGAGATCTTTTAACGTGTTTTTAACTGGTTTTGAAGTGAGAGATGGTGCGTTATTATGAAGCAAAATGATTTTGTTGTGTGTTCTGGCACATTCTGGTTGTTTCACGATCAAAGCATGGCTGAAATTGATTATTTGTTGTCTGTAGCGATCAGTATTAACGTTTTCACCTGGTTTTAGAAGATTATGATACACCACACCTTCCTGATCCCACCAAATGCAGAGCATTGTGTTTGTGGTGATTTGGCATTGCAGTTGATGTTGATGGTTGATCTTGATCAACCCATGATTTTGTGTGTGTGGGATTCTCAAAGTAAATCCACTTTTCAGTGCAAAAAAGGCTTTCTTTTGTGCCATCGAAGCAACATTTTACTGATGACTTTTCAATTTGTCTTTTGTTCAGTTAATGTGGCACCCATTTTCCTTTCTTTAAAATATTTCCCATTGCTTGTAAACGATTGGACATTTTTTGCTAAGCAACATTTAATCTTTCTGCAAGTTGTTTTTGAGTTTGGCAACACATCTTCATCTAATAATGCTTGTAATTGTTGGTTTTCAAGTTTTTTTGGTTGACCTAGACGTTCTTTGTCTTTCATCTTTGTCATTAAAATCATCACTTTTAAAGCATTTAAACCAGCATTCACAAGTATCTTGAGATGGAGCATGTTCACCATAAACTTCCTGAAGTATATAACTTTCAGAAGCACTTTTCTTCAAAATAAAGTAATGAATTAAAACTTCCCGCAAATGCTCTTTTTTTGGCATGAAATTTGACATTTTTAAGCATAAAAATATCTATGATGTTAACACGTTCATATATCAAATTTGATATCTGAAGTTTTGAAGCTTGCTGTCAATACAACAAAATAGCATACATATCAAATCACATATATATCAACATATGTGTAACTCCATCTATTGAAAAAAAATTCTCATTAACTGGTACACCTAGTATATGTGAAATTGGTGAATGGATGTATTTGTTTTCTGTGGATTTGTTGTTTTATGACCATATTGTTTTCTCAGTCAGATTGTTTGTCATCCTTACTCAGTGGGCCTGCATTTGGCTCCAGGTGTTTTAGCAGCAGCCACCCTGTTAAAAGGGAGGGGCCTGGACCTCTGTCCAAATAAGGAAGGAAGCTGCATCAGGCGATTCGGAGTTTACAGGTTGTGGTCTCTGGCGGTGTTTTGTGAGGTTGAGGGTACCACCTTCCAGAGGTTCCCTGGTTGGGAAAGGCTGAGTGAAACCACTGACATGTTTTCATGACTGAGAATGAAACCCATCTGACACATGAGAATGTAAAGCTATACAGAAATAAATTCAGGTGATTTTTTTTGCTTTGAAGAATAGTCTTCATGGATGTCACCTGAAACTCTCATGATCCAACCTCAAGCTTCTCTTCCTCCCCCTTGACAATCTGATATGAAATGACAGTGTCTACTATAGAGTCATTCATCTTTCACTTCCTGACACCCCGGCCCCACTGTTCTGGGCCTGAAATGGGCTGCCGCCATCATCACGTGGCAGACACAGCTTCTTTCCCAGCTCTCCTTTCTGATCCCTGCAGCTGGAAGTATTTTCTTCCTTCGACTTCCTGTGGCCCTTTGTCTCTCCCACTTTATACTTTCTAGCACGTGTTATAAATACTTCTATAACTGACTTTCAGCCCTGTGCTCTGTGAAAAGCTGTGAGAGAACTCAGTGTCTCCCAGAGCCAGTCTCTTCTTGAAGTGAATCCATTTCTCAGAAGTCCTGAGTGCAGTCCCTGCACCTGCAAATGTGACTCACAGGAGGGAATATCCCTTCCGACAGGCCTCCTGTGTGAAGGGCACTCATGGCAGCACTGAATTTTCTCAGGAATGAAGCATAGTGTGAATCTCAGCAAATGGAAGTCCGCAGTGTCATTTGTCACACTTCCTTGTGAGCAGAAATCAGGGTGTAGTGGTCTTCAAGCTTCCCTCAGCATTGGCATCTCAGACAGCAGGTCTATGCTGCTCCATAAAAAAGAAAAAAGACATTTACGCTCAGAAAAAAAAGAAAAAGAAAAAAAAAAGAACAGTGTTCTTTAACAAATGTACTGGACCCTTCAGTTCTAGGCAGCATCCAGCATCTATCCCCACAGCTCATGGCGGGGGAGTTCAGTCATTTCATTGTACAGTGAGAGAAACAGGCTCTGAGAAGCGAAGTGAACTTTCCTGATGGACAAAGCAGGAGCTGAGCAGCATAGGACACAGTCTCCCTGTGCTTGCAGACTATGGGATCCAGGCAGCACAGTGCTTTCAACAAATCCAGCATTTTGCAGTTTTGTTAGGTGCCAGTTCTACATGAGTATCCGATAAAATAACAGCTTTGTAAACAAGTTCTTGCAAAATTGAACTGTATGCAGGCAGAGTAGCCAGTCTTCTGTATTTAACTGTCTCCTTTTTTCTAACATTTTGATTCAAAACTGCTGTTTCTGTGTGAGCTAAGTGGAATAATTGGAAAGACATACATCTCTGTGCGGAATGTGCTGCGAAAGGCGGGCTTTCCTCTGCTGGCACTGTTGGCGTGGAGTGGGCCACCCCCAGGAATGGCTTTGTGCCCAAGCCCAGAGCAATGCGGCCATGACTTCATGGCACCTGCCCTCGTGCTGTTATGTGAAACCCTGGTGTGTGTTTCAAATAAGCAAAATTCATGAAAAAATAACAAATATATCATTGCCAGGTACACAAGTGGGCAAATACAAAAATTTAAATTAGACACTCTTAAAGATAGAAAAATGGAAAATGGTGGCAGTGTCTGCACAGCTGCTTTTTCAGCTCTTGAGTCTTGGAAACTGGGTGACTTGTTTGCCCATTTATCATTTTGAGACAGGAATGACACATCAATTATTCTGACATGGAGTTCCATGTCAGAGCTTTAGGAATGGACTCCTAAAACAGTGTTGATGACTTTGACTTTACATGAACTATTGGTATATTGTAGACTCTGCAGAAGGAAAATGTAAAGTATGAGCCATTTGTTAAGCATAGGAATGACATTT